ATGGATGCATGGATGCATGTATTCATGGATGCATGTGTGCATGTATGCATGTATGCATGTATGCATGTATGCATGTATGCATGCATGGATGCATGGATGCATGGATGCATGGATGCATGGATGCATGTGTGCATGTATGCATGTATGCATGTATGCATGCATGGATGCATGGATGCATGGATGCATGGATGCATGGATGCATGGATGCATGTATACATGCATGGATGCATGGATGCATGGATGCATGGATGCATGGATGCATGGATGCATGGATGCATGGATGCATGGATGCATGTGTGCATGTATGCATGTATGCATGTATGCATGTATGCATGCATGGATGCATGGATGCATGGATGCATGGATGCATGTATGCATGTATGCATGCATGGATGCATGGATGCATGCATGGATGCATGGATGCATGGATGCATGCATGGATGCATGGATGCATGGATGCATGGATGCATGTATGCATGCATGGATGCATGGATGCATGGATGCATGGATGCATGGATGCATGTATTCATGGATGCATGTATTCATGGATGCATGTGTGCATGTATGCATGTATGCATGTAAGCATGTATGCATGCATGGATGCATGGATGCATGGATGCATGGATGCATGTGTGCATGTATGCATGTATGCATGTATACATGTATGCATGTATGCATGTATACATGTATGCATGCATGGATGCATGGATGCATGGATGCATGGATGCATGTATGCATACATGGATGCATGGATGCATGGATGCATGGATGCATGGATGCATGGATGCATGTGTGCATGTATGCATGTATGCATGTATGCATGTATGCATGTATGCATGGATGCATGGATGCATGGATGCATGGATGCATGTATGCATGGATGCATGGATGCATGGATGCATGGATGCATGGATGCATGGATGCATGTGTGCATGTATGCATGTATGCATGTATGCATGTATGCATGCATGGATGCATGGATGCATGGATGCATGGATGCATGGATGCATGCATGGATGCATGGATGCATGGATGCATGGATGCATGGATGCATGGATGCATGGATGCATGTATGCATGCATGGATGCATGGATGCATGTATGCATGCATGGATGCATGGATGCATGGATGCATGCATGGATGCATGGATGCATGGATGCATGGATGCATGGATGCATGTATGCATGTATGCATGTATGCATGTATGCATGGATGCATGGATGCATGGATGCATGGATGCATGCATGGATGCATGCATGGATGTATGCATGTATGCATGGATGCATGCATGGATGCATGCATGGATGCATGCATGGATGCATGGATGCATGGATGCATGGATGCATGGATGCATGGATGCATGGATGCATGCATGGATGTATGCATGTATGCATGCATGGATGCATGGATGCATGGATGCATGGATGCATGGATGCATGGATGCATGCATGGATGCATGGATGCATGGATGCATGGATGCATGTATGTCTGTATATGCAGATAGATTGCATTGGATTAGATTTGAGTAGACCAGACTAGATTAGGTAGCGAGATGGTGAGGTAGAAGGTAGAAATTAAATACATACATACTATTACATTTATGTTACAACCGAATGAATATGCATACACAGACTTGTATATGTCCACATACAAACATATAGATACAGGATATACATATAACAAATATAATCAGGTATATAATCACATCTGCACCTGCATGTAACTATCAGTATACATACTTATGTATAAAGATACACATATCATCATATGTATGTACATATATATATATATGCATATAAACATAAATGTATACATATATCAAAACATAAATTTATACATCTATATAAACATATACACATATGTATATATATATATATGTGTGTGTATGTATATATATATATATATATGGAGGTTTCCTGAAATGGGGGTACCCCTAAATCATCTATTTCATTGGGGTTTTCCATGAAATAAACCAACCATTTTGGGGATCCCCAACCCCTATATACACATATTGTGCCTGCGACAAATCCGCCAAAATCGTGCGGCTACGGGTTGAAATTTGAGGATTTCTTCAGTCAGAGGAATTCTTCAGTGAGATCTATGAGAAAAAAAAACTAGCCTAGATCCGGCCAAAAACCAAAAGAAATCATCTTCAAATCCTTCCTAAATCCTGGATGTGAATCCTTCCAAAATGAATGCCCAGATGGTAGTCTTTGTCCACTCAGACAGTGCCTGTCAGCTTTGGATCCGTGAAATGTCAGTCCCTTCAACGGCCAGAGGGAATGGGGGAATGGGATGATTATTGATTGTTATTGTGGATCATTCCCATCCATTCCCTACGTTTAGCACCCGCAAGAAAAAGAGTTTCAAAATCCAAGTTGGGTCGTTCTCCTTCCGCTTGGCGGTGACCCCTTGCTATATCCGACCAGGTTGGATCGAAAAGTGGATTCTTCGATCCTGCACCTGGGACATTCCGTGGTCGGTAATTTTATCCAAAAACGGAATACCACCTCCAGATCTGATCAAATCTCCATCGAAAATTTGAGATGTTCTATATATATCTGTGACCCCACCTTCGACACAGATTAGATGTTGCTTTCAATCAAAAATGACTCAAAAATAGGCTGGTGAAAACACTAAATTTCCAAGAGGTGACTCGGGAAAAGACAAAAACATGGACTCTACACTACAAAAAGGGCATCAAAAAGACATACAATAAGCAAACAAAAACAAAACCCTGAAACCAAGGCTTTTCTGCTACAGCGAGTGACACGATCGGTTCTTGAGTCCGTGTTTGTTGTCGAGCCATGGGGTCATATGTTCTATATTGTTCTATTAAATGTTCCCATCAAAAATAGCCTAATTAAACCTAATGTTAGTAAAACAGTAAAACAATAATAAAGCACCCATATTTTGATGGTTTGTAGCAACCATTTATGGTGATTTTGGGGATGATTTATTATTGTTTTACCAACATCAATTGATTGAGGTGTTTGCACTCCAGTTTCGGACAACCCGAAACGGTTCAAAGATTTCAAAGGCACTCGTCACTGCGGGAAATGCCATCCCCCAATGGTCGTCGCCTGTCGCCACAAGTTAAGATGCGGAAATGTCCATGGCAAACCCCAACAAAAGCTGAGGGAATACGAGGGGAAATGGCATATAAAATGGGATAAGATGGGGATGTCTATAATATATATATATATATAAATTCACATACATATCATATACATGTATGTATGTATGTATGTCTGTATGTATGTATGTAATGTAATGTAATGTAATGGAATGTAATGTAATGTAATGTAATGTAACGGAACGGAACGGAACGTTATGTTATGTTATGTTATGTTATATTATGTTATGTTATGTTATGTTATGCATGTATGTATGTGTATGTGCATGCATGCATGCATGCATGCATGCATGCATACATGCTACGTACGTACGTATGTACGTATAACTAGGATTTGGGGTAATAGGATATAAATAGAGATTTGTACTAGATGGGGACAGTTAAAATTCATTCAAACCTAGAAAAAAAAAACATATGTTGATGGTTGTTCACGTAGATCCCAGCTACTGTATTCAGGTTTTGATCATCAACGATAAGCTACCGCCGAATGGTCAGAACGATCCATGAAGTTGTAACGCCTGAGCCATTACAAACAGCTTATCCATCCAGCTTTGTACCCCCGGTAACCAAACATGGCAATGGGAAATCCTTCAGAAAAAATGCTTTAATGGCAAAATCAGCTATAAATTGGTGAATTTTCCATTGCCATGTCTGAAAAAAACTGAATACCAGAGGGTGACTACAGAAACTTGATCCAGACGAAGTATCATGATGTACAGTGTTATGTTTTCGAAACTTGAGATCAGCAAGTTTGCTAATGATTCCCCACGGAAAACTGCATCTTGCAGCCTGCAGCATCTTGCTTTATGTTGTTGGCGGGTGGTATATCACCCAGCTCAGCTTCAAAAATGATCAACAAGTAATCCCCTTCCCAAACCTTCCGCTCATAATATCCCCTTTATTTTCCTAGCAATAGGGGCTGAATATAATCTGGGGAGGTCCGAGATTTTTCATTCTGAGTGCATCCGAAGGATCTTCCAGCCCCTTTGAAACGCCTGAAAACCCCTTTGCCAAACAAAAATGGGGACCATTTTTAAGCTGAATTTCCCACAGAAGCCGGACCGCCTCTTGGGTTCCGAAGTTCCATGTTCGATTTCAAGGGAGATTTTTACAAAGATCCCTTCATTGCACTGGTTGGATTCTGGTCGGCCCGAGGGATTCTGCGGATTCCTTTTGAGGTAAGGGACTTGCTTTTTGCCAAGGCATGTCACCTAACCTAGAGACACCTTCAAACAGATATATATATATATATACATGCATACATGAGATATATATATATATGATATGCCAGCATTTATAGCAAAATGATAACCTATGAACCAACATGAACCAACCATTCATAAGTCCGTCTACTTTGGAGACATGCCTTATTCGCACTTGGGGGTTGCAACTTCAGCTACCAAGTCTACCAAGTTCCCACCATGGCAAAACCCGAGTGGTGAAAGTCACACTCAGACATCACCCAACTATTGGAAATATCATCTCATGCAGGCGATGGAAACAAAATCCCCTGATCAGGATGGCACTCACTTTCTAAGGCCCAAAACTGATCAGCAACAAGAAAGCCCTGGAGGAACCAGCGGAAAAGCAAGCGAAAAATGGACCATTGAGTTCGATGATTCCCCTGGTAAAAATTGTGATTCCCATAGCAAATGGTTAGTTCACCAAAGGGTATCTTTCAATTATATATTCCGATTAAACCATCCACTTTGAATCATCTATAAATAATCTAAGATTAATTAATCTAGATCATCTGTAAATAATCTATAAATCATCTAATTACAAATAATCTATTAAACAATCTACAAATCATCTCTACAGTATATTTCATGATTTTCAAATTAAACCACGCCCAAAGGCAGCCTCACACACCCTGGAGCCCGAAGGGTAGGTCCATCAATTGCTCCTGGAGTCCATTAATTCATCGCGACTTCGCGTTCGGCAGAGGTGTCTGGTGAGGCAACAACTCATATTTTTCAGAAGGGTAGGTATACCACCAACCAGCCATTATTAACCATCATTAATCATCATTAAGTCACCATTAATCACCATTTGGGAAGATACTGGGATGATGGATATGCGCTCTGAAGAAAATCCACCCTGGTGGGAAAATTCCCTAACAAAATGGAGGTTTCGAGCTGGGAAAATCATCTATAAATAGGGAATCTTCCATTGCCACGTTTAAGTTGACGGCAGGAGACGCATCCCAAGCATATGGCTTGAAGCAACCACACATGCATAAATGGATATAAATATAAATGGCTGATTGATCAACCATAAACGGTAGTTTAACCAACAAACATGGGGCTGGAAACCATATAATTCCAAATGGATATAATGGGGATATAATTGGAGAATGGAATATACGACAATAGAATGAACAATTTGGGATATGGGTGTGTCCGAAAATTGTATATAATCGTACCCAAAAAATGCAATATGTATAGGAAAATGATGATTGACCACTAGATTAAGGGGACCGTGTTTTCAGACCCAACTTGACTCTGCAATTTCAGAATACACTTTTCTTGCTGGTCAGCATCTATCCACATTCACAGAAAAACCAGTTGTGTTAAACTCATCATCCAGTTACCAATCCAAGGTTTCCCCTTGAAGAAAGGTATCCCAAGATATCCCTGTGTTGAAAATCTAAGCCCAGTTTTTGCTGCAGAGCAATACTCAGGTGTCCTGCAAATGTTCCCCTAAACCAATTCTGGTAAATACTGTATGAATATGAATTGCAATGATGATATGCAAAAATAAACTTTCTGTTGATAAATAAATGTCCCCATTTTGAAGACTTTGAAAATGGGGATAGTGCAACCATGAATCACCAAGAATAGTTGGAAATGTTAGGTTCACAAAACTGACAAAAAAACTGAAGGATGTTTGCATATGTTTACGATGTCTTCCCAAGACAGACGAACTCATATGCAAAAATAGTCAACCCTAATGCTACCCCTGGTTCCTTTTATTGAGAGGGTCCATATACCTTGTGTAAGTAAATATATATATATATATTTAAATAAATATATATATATATATTTATTATAATATATATATATATATTATATTTATATTTATTTATATATATATATTTAAATATTTATATATATTTAAATATTTATATATATATATATTTATATATATATTTATATATATATATGTATATATATATATATAAATATTTATATATATGTATATATATAAATATATATATATATAAATATATATATATAAATATATAAATATTTACATATATAATATATATATATATGATATATATATATATATGATATATATATATGATATATGATAGATATATATATATATATGATATATATATATATGATATATATATGATATATATATATATATATTTATTTATCATATATATATTTTATATATATATTTATGATATCTATATGATATATATATATATATGATATATGTATATGATATATGTAAATATGATATATTTACATATATATATATATCTTTGATATATATACATTATATGATATATATATATATATTTGATATATATATATATTATATATGATAAGTATATATATATATATATATTTGATATATATATATATATGATATATATATATATGATATATATATATATATGATATATATATATATGATATATATATGATATATATATATATATACCGGTTTAATAGCAAGTTATCATGTTTTTTGCTTTGGGGTCCCAATTGAATCAGCCAGGATGTATTAATCTGGGGTTGACTACCTACGAGTAAATTCATGTTGGTATTGGTCCGAAAAAATCGCACCCAAACTTGCCTTTTGTGCTTTGGGGAGTGCAGCAGCATTTCTTGTGGACAAGCAAGAGAGGTCAGGAGATGGTCAAGAAGCTTGTTGTGTTTGTACTAAAAGCTGGTTGGTGGTTTCAACCCCTCTGTTGGGATTTTTATTCCCAATATATGAAAAAATAAAATTCAGGTTCCAAACCGCCAGCCAGTAAAAGTCTTTCAAGATTAATCTTGAGAACTTTGAACAACACACATTTCCATCGGTTTCTTCGGAGGTGCCAGCTTGCACCTGGATCTCGCTGATCCACGGCCCATTTTCTCATATTTTCTCAACAGGTGAGTGGTAAAATGCTGAACATCTTCCCCATACAAAAAGATTGTACTGTAGTAAACCCCAATAATTACAACCATTCTATATTATATATTTAACCATCCCCAATTTTACCAAAGTATCTTCTACTCAATGATATGCAATGCATTGTTGAGTTTATCACATTACTCTGATCATCAATTCTGACCTCTTTTCCCAGTCAGAAAAATACTTTTTTAATATCGGCGGTCAGAGTCGAGTCAAAACCCAAATGACCCTGCGAACACACCAAAAAAACTGGTTGGTGGTATACCTACCCCTATGAAAAGTATGACTTCGTCAGTTGGGATGATGATTATTCCCAACTGAATGGAAAGTCATAAAAGCCATGTTCCAAAGCACCAGCCAGTGGTAGATGTTACCATTAATGGATACCTTCTATAGCTATTCCACATAGCCATTTTCCATAGCCATGTTCCAAAGCACCGACCAGTGGTAGATGTTACCATTAATGGATACCTTCTATAGCTATTCCACATAGCCATTTTCCATAGCCATGTTCCAAAGCACCAACCAGTGGTAGATGTTACCATTAATGGATACCTTCTATAGCTATTCCACATAGCCATTTTCCATAGCCATGTTGCAAAGCACCAACCAGTGGTAGATGTTACCATTAATGGATACCTTCTATAGCTATTCCACATAGCCATTTTCCATAGCCATGTTCCAAAGCACCAACCAGTGGTAGATGTTACCATTAATGGATACCTCTATAGCTATTCCACATAGCCATTTTCCATAGCCATGTTCCAAAGCACCAACCAGTGGTAGATGTTACCATTAATGGATACCTTCTATAGCTATTCCACATAGCCATTTTCCATAGCCATGTTCCAAAGCACCGACCAGTGGTAGATGTTACCATTAGTGGATATCTTCTATAGCTATTCCACATAGCCATTTTCCATAGCCATGTTCCAAAGCACCAACCAGTGGTAGATGTTACCATTAATGGATACCTTCTATAGCTATTCCACATAGCCATTTTCCATAGCCATGTTCCAGTCAGCACCAACCAGAACACCATCGCCAAGGGATGGTCGGTCCTCAGGGATATGTTGCATGCTTGCCGTGAAGTGTCGTGCATAGACCACCAATTCCCGACAGGCCTCCTGCCATTTGGGACGATTCACAGCTGTCCAAGAGATGGTGAAATGGCCACTGTCCCAAAGGGTTTTATGAACCATCATGGATGATAGTATATATAAGTATATAGATTATCATGAATTAGTGTGAATTACCATGGATATCTTTGGATGTACCCTCGGTATTCAAACATGGTAGTAGGAACTTCCCCATTTAGTTCGATTTTCCCATTAAATGCCATTGTTCCCAGTGAGCCCTGTTTGATTGCTGGAGGATACGTTTTTCGCTTCTCTGGAGCTGTTTGTTTTTGAAACACGGTGTCAAGTGGTTTCTGATGGTTTCGAGGTCCCATTTCTCAACACACCCAAAATGCCCCTCCCGCGGGCTGCTGATTACATGTCCATTTGGTGTACCCTCCGCTCCAACAGGGCTAGCTGGAAAATTTACTGCTTCGAAATAGCCATTAAATTAAATAGGAAAATCATCGATGGGGGATTTGCCAGCTGGCCATGTTTGATTAGAGGGTAAAATCTCCAGTTCAACCACAGACCCGCCAGTAAGGCACCTTGTTTCTGTTCGCTGCAGTAAGGAGTTTGTGATAGTTCAGGCACAGAAAAGCCTCATTCCCCAGGTCCAAGCTGAAGGAATGTGCTTGGATATTCTGGATATTAATTTGAGGAATTGCACTTCGGGTGCAGGTCCAGTTCATTTGGGTGCATGTATGTACGTATCTGTGTGTGAGAACCATCTGAAGAGATGTAAAACTTCTAAGTTTCGCAGGGGGCCCATAGGCACTTTGATGGCATGGGCCAACGAAGGCCCATCCAAGTTGCTGCGCAAACGTACCTGCAACTTTTGAATCGTGATGGGGTGTGGCCAACCCAAGAACCACTATGCCGTTTTTCAACGAGAATCACATCAGGATTTTTGAACTCAGCACATGAACGGATGAAGGTGACTTCTCCTTTCTCTTTCTGCACAGTTGGCGCAATCTGAGACTGCGGTGAATCTCTTGTCCACTCCAATTGTCTGCTTATATTTCGGAGTTTCTCCTGGCTTCTATTGATTTGATTCCATTCTAAGGTGGCGACGAAAGAATTTTCCTTTCACTCCACACCAAACACCCTCCTGTTCCTGTCAGATGTAACTGGATTGTTTTTGCACGTCAGATGCGCTCCACAACAGAATTCGCAATGACAGTTCTGAGCAAGTGTGTGTGTGTATGTAAATGTATATGCAAAGGGTATAGCCATGTTTGGTTTCCAGATTGAGGGGGATTATATAACCAGCTACGATCCATGGGATGATCCTCCAAATATTCACCAACCTGAAATAGTGCAAATGTGTATAAAGATTCTCCCAAAACCATCATCAATTGTGAAGTTGGCTGATTGTGAGGTTGCTATAAACTGTTTCGATGATCAGACTGCTCACTATGTATGGGAACGGAACCCATCCCGATACTGCAGCATTCAGAGGTTCGGTTCATTGGGATTTGCTGAAACTCTCAGACATCCTGCTCCTTTTTTCCGTGTCTGTTAGTCAATGCCATGTTTTTTGATGATTGTGCTCTGATATCCCCAGCTGGCCTTGACAGCTGTTCTAATGAACCCCAGACCTGATTTGAGCCATTATGTTTGTACTGTTCCCTCGCTACAAATCATCCCAAAGTTTCTGTAACGTCTCCGAAAAGTGGTATGAAACATCATGGAACCCCTTAGTGGTTTCAATCCATCCCCAAAATATACAAAAATCCATTTTTGCATCATCATCCGAAATATGTTGAGAAACAAAAACGGGGTGGGTCAAAACCTATGAGCCTATCAATTTTGGTGGGTTAAAAACATCCAGCACCAGCTATGACTTGAGGTTAGGGCTACCAGGCCATGACCCGACTACGGATCCAGGTACTGCTCGAGTCTCCGAAATTGCTCGACCCAAATAGTTCCAGGGACACCATAAGCCTCAGCTGTTCCAGGGACACCACCTTCTGCCAATCCCAAAGTCCCATCAAATGATGATCCGCAAATGCTAGTTCCATTGGGGGAAACCACGTTAGATATATCTAACATCAACATCCATAAACTCCAGAAACTCGAGTGAAATTGGAATTAATGTCAAGTTAGTATTGGTAAACCACCCTGGGTTAGACCCCTCCTATTAATGAGCACAAGTGTCTGCCCCGCAATTAATCAACACCCTGCTCACAATCCTGTTTTTTTTGATGCTTCTGATGCTTGAGAATGGAATTGGCTCTGATGTTTCTGATGTGATGATTTCTGATGCTAGCTGATGAATACAGTGTCTAATCTATAACAATATGCATATGTATACATATATTATATATATTATAATTGTGAAACTTACATTTATTTAAAGACATATATATATACTATATATATATACATACTTTTCAGCACAATCATTTCACTGAATCCCCCAAATACAGAAAAAACAACTTTTTTGAAGGTTTGAAAATGTATGTTCCTTATTACTTTATTTATTTAGAAAAAAAAACATTTTGAGAAGGTCACAAAGGGTACCCCTTTGGGTGGCTTGTCCCCACAAAATAATGCGCACGTATCCCCCCAATTTATCCACACCCTCAGCCCACCTGGTCTCATATTGCTGATCCTTTTCTGCTTCAAAAAAAAAATTACATGACAATCTTATAAATCCCATTCCAAATCGCATGAATCCCATATTTTTTGCTTTTCTGCTCTTTATTTGGGGGGGTCGACCTTCTCCAGCAGAGAACCCTTACTTTTTCGGGGGATTCTGACCTGGGTGGCATCACCTTGTGAGAATGCTTTAGTAATTTGTCAAACATGGCGATTGAAAAAATTGCCCTTGAAATAGTGGATTTACCCATTGAAAATGGTGGTTTAACGGCCATTTATGGTTGATGTACCTAGTAAAAATAGCGATTTTAGATAGTTATGTGACAGTTTACCGGAGGGTAAGCTGTGGATAGAATTTGGGCACCGAAAATATGGTCATTCGTCACTGTCCGTTTGGGGTGTTCAAGCCGAAAGCGTTTGATCTTGGAGTCGACTCTGTTAGTCATTGGTTGGTAAACAACTGGTATCCCGTGCAAAAAAAATGGTTGTGTCGGTTGTGTCATGCTATCCCCAATTAAAAAGAGTTATTGTCCTGGCCACCTATATTAACCAATCAGCAGGAATGTTTGTAATGGTTCATTTGTGATGGGTTTCCATCATTTAGGTTCCCTTCTCTCCGTTCTCCTGGGTCCATGGGTACTTTTCGGTGGCAACCTCATCCCTTTGTTGATCTTCATGTTGCGTGGTCAGTTCCCAAATTAAACATCATAAACCCTAGCATATATGAATCTGCGTGTTTTCTATCCATTGCTGCTGGCGAAAATCTGCATGTTTGCTGTTTCAAAACCCCCATTTTTCTATAGTTAAATGCCCTAACCTATGTTTGCTGTTTCAACTTCTATTTTTGTTGGTCAAATACCATGGTTTGTTTGTTAAATCCCATACCCTCTGGTAGACTAACATAACTATGGGAAATCAAAATTTTTACTAGGTACATCAACCATAAGTTGCCATTTTCAATAGCTATTTTGACATAACCAGAGGGTAATTTTGGTGGCTCAATCCGCATTTTTCCTCTGTTCAATTAATATATATATATATGTATATATGTATATATGTATTTAGTTATTTATTTATTTATTTATATTATATTATATTATATTAAAAAATCTAAAAAGTAAATATTAAGATGCTATATTTAAATCATAATATATATATATATATAAAATCAATCCATTTTTCCTGCCAGCCAGCCACAACTTGGCGAACCTAAGAAGCCAAGTCGCACGCTTCGCAGAGCCAGTCTCCGGGACTTGAGAGTTTCACATCAAAGTTGCCTACGAAGACTGGCCCAGGTGTCACTGGAAAAACTAGGAAAAAACATTGGAAATAGCGGGGCTGGTTTGGTATACCATCTATCACCATTTACCTGTTGTTAAAGGGGGTTCTTCAAACCCGTCTATTCATCAACCAACCAATGGGAAAAGGACATCTATGATTGGAAAAATGACTCTGATCCGATCAAAAATGGAGAATCACGGGATTTTTCAGGAAAACCTAGGAAAAAATGTATAATTTTGGTTCTTTAAAAGTTAATTTTGGGTTTGATACTCAACTTTGGTCAAGCTTTTACCCACCCAACCATGTGAGAAAAAGCACTTTGGAAGCTTGCCCCATCATTATTGACACTCTGGCCTTGAGGGACACAGGCCTCTTATCAAGCCACCAGCACCATGCGGTGGAGAAAGCATAACTGTTTGATGCGTTTGCTGCATTTCAAACAACTTTAAAGCAACCAAAAAAAACGCATTTATCAACTATTAGTGGGGATAAAATATGCTAAAATGTGGGTCATTTGGTTAATTGGGCCATAAATGGTGAACAGAAGAATATGATAAGTGGATGACTTGCGGCAAATTGGAATGAAATGAGAGAAGCCTACAGAAATGTCCCCATGAATCACCAAAAAAACTAAATTGATCTATTACGGTATATACACTTAACGCCATAAACCTCCAATTTGGGATGGTCTATACCACCCATTCCTGTTATTCTTCAAATGGTTTATTGTTGGGTTTACGACATTAACAAAGAAAAAATGGTGCGAGAACGCAGAAATGACGGTGAGTTCATGGTAAATTAGGGAGGTTGCACTTTCTTGATTCAATGTGGGACTGTGAGAGTGTCATATTCCAAATGGGGGTCCGAAAAGACGGGCGACTCCCTCCATATCATCCAAGTGATTGATCATCCAACATGGTTTGCTGGGAAAAAACACTCCTGCTGTTCGATGGTGATCCTCCGGGTCGAAAGTTTGGATTCTCCAGCCATGTTCATTGCCAGGGACTAATTTTATGTACACTCTGGTAAACAAACATAGATATTGAAAATGGCAATTTTTGTCCATTAAAAATTGTGATTTTCCATAGTTATGTTAGTTTACCAGAGGGTAATGTTCATCATAATTCACCAACCTGAAAAGTTTGGCCACCCATCTTCCCATGCGCCGGCCGTACCCCCCTGAAAAGTTTGGCCATTTGGGGAGAATTACCAAAATCCAATTCCCATCATGACAGTGATGTCGCAATCTGAGGTGGCTATAATTCATGCAGATATATCCCCATGCATTGACATATGTCCATTGTGACATCGTTCATTCCACACTATTGTTGGTTCATATCCCAATTATTTGCCCATTGGCCCATTATTGTTGATTTGAACCAAATATACTGACTATATCCCCAATCCCATTGTTGGTGGTTAAGATCCTTAATGTTGCGAGTTAAATCCCCACTATATCAAGTCCCAAGCCCTCCCTTGGCTGAAACCCACCCCATCCTGTTCGACTGCAGTTGAGGGGCGGATGGAAATCTGTGGGTGGAATACAGATCCAATGATTTGTGGTGTATGCAAGTCGAATCAATCACCAGGTGGATACAAGTTCACGCAACAATGAACTAACAGCTGTTTTAGGCATTGCAAACATGTTCATTCCAGCAATCCGCACTGGTGGATCAGCCGAGGAATTCCGTTCTGAAAACCGGACTTCAACCAATGAAAAAGGGTACAGTAGATTTAGATAACCAGCAAGAAATTAACAGTTGCCCAACCAGATATGGATAAATCATGATAGATCTGGATATTGCTATGGTTTCCCATGGTTTCCACCACATGTATTGTGCAGTATTATAATTCCAATAATCAACCAACCATCATTTATTGATTACAGTCAAACCCCTTACGCCCCCATTAAATCACTATAATCAACAACCAACCTGGGGTCTGCCCCTGCTCATTTTTGGATCACATTTTTTCCCAAAAAATCCGCCTTCATGAGACGAGCGTGTGCGTAACGTTGCGACAGACGGGACCTTGCCAGCACTCTTCGCCGTGGAAACCTCGGAGCTGAGAAGTTGAATCCCCCGGGATCCAAGGTGAGCACCCTAAGGGGTTCTTACGGCGAAGGTAAAAGGCCGGGGTCAGATCAGGGCGCTCCATCTGGGCCCCTGTTTTTTCACTGTACAGGCTCGCACAAGAGTGCCCTTGCGAGATGTCCATGTGCATTTCGACCGCGCATGCTCGCACAAAACGGTTGTCCCGTTTTTGCTCCGCGCAACCCTGGATCGCTCTCAGCGCGGCGCGGTGCGAATTTTGATATCGCTCGTGCAACCCTCTTGGCACTTTGTGCGCGTCAGATCGCTCAGCGCAACGCAGCACGACTTTTGATATCGCTCCCTCGCGCAACCTTCTCGGTGCTTTTGTGCGTGTCAGATCGCTCTCGTTGTGGCGCGGTGCTGATCTTGGCTGATTCTCTGAGACCCGGGTGGAAAAATATTATGAGTTCTCTGGCGGGGTCCTTCTGTGACGATCTTGCAAGAGTTTCATGGCGCAGACTTAGAGGTCCGTGATATATGAAGCAGATGTTGTGAAGATCCTGCTGAAATCCTGTGCGAGGTCCTTGCATGATCTTGTACAGGTTTTATGAGAGGATCTTGTGCAGATCCTGCTGACATCTTCTAAGAGATCCTTGCATGATCTTGCACAGGTCGTTGTGAGAAGATCTTGTAGAGATCCCGGTGAAAACCTCTAAGAGGTCCTTGCATTTTCTTGTACAGGTCCTTGTGAGTTGATCTCGTGGAGATCCTAGTGAAACGCTGTCAGAGGCATTTGCATGCACAGGTCCTTTGAGAAGCTCTTGAAGAGGTTCTGGTGAAATCCTCTCGGTGTCCTTACATGATCTGGCGCAGGTCCTTGTGAGAACATCTTGTGGAGATCCTGTGCAAATCTTCCCCAAGAGGTCCTTGCACTAAGATCTTGAAGATCCTCTGCATTGGTACTATTATGAGAGTTCTTCTGGGATGCTCATGGGAAGTTCTCGTATGAAGATCTTGTGAGATGCTTTATGTCGAAGGTCCTTCTTCGACAATCTTTTGAAATTCTCTTGGATGTCCTGTCCTGGTATGAGGTGCTGGTACAAGGTCCTGCTGAGTAGACATGGCTTTGCTTCTTGTGCCAAACAAGCTCCTGCGGCTGCAGTTCCGATAGTGCCTAACCTGATTTGTTACTGTTCCATAGCTACTGTTGCTTGTATCTGATACATTGACTTCCTCCCCCCTACTCTGTTTGGGATCTCTTGCAGATGTAATTTAATGGGACAATCCCTTCCCGCTTTCATAGTACACACCCCAAGACACCACGGAAGTATGGGATGAAACATGATGAAACCACATTTATATTTGGGACCAAACAATGAGGGTGCTTTATATTAGAAGGGTGGGCGTAATCCCATAACCGGGCGTAATCCCATAACCCCAAGATACCCACAAGTTTGAGAGTGCCACACCCCAATTTGATCCATCCAGAATCCCCAGGTCACTGAAACGAAATCCGCCCACACCGCTTTGGCGGTGAAGGCGTGCTTATTGGGGGGCAACAGCAACACTAAATGCTCAATGACATTTGTTAATATAGCAGTCGCTATATCAGCTTTAGCTGGGGGGGGGGCCAAAAACGGTTTCGCACCGAGACCAGACCCCAAAAACGGTTTCGCACCGAGACCAGAATACGGTGGTGTTTTCGACATTTTTCGAGGATTTTTGGGTGTCTGAGCGCAAGAGGGTATTGAAATGGAATTTTGGGTCATTTTGGTAGCTTTCCGGCAATGGAAAAACGGCCAAAAATGAAAAAAACATTGTACATAGCAAGATTTTGCAGGGTTTTTGGATGCCAGAGCATTGAAAACACTGCAAAAACAAGTGTTTTGGACTGACGTTATAGCAAAAAACGTGTAAATTACCGTATGCTTGACTGGAAACATTACAAAAACACTGTCAAAAGCAATGTTTTGGAAGGATTTACTGCCTTTATGGCAAAAAACGTGTAAATTACCGTCTGTTTGACTGGAAACATTGGAAAAACACTGTCAAAAACAATGTTTTGGAAGGATTTCTTATTGAAACTTCTTAGCTTGAAGAGCCCCCACGGGGGAAAACCACCCTTAGCCCCTCTCACGGACCGAAATAAACCTGCGGTGTGGGCGGCCACCCCACGCGAAGCGGGGTGAATAATCATTTGAAGATAGACATTCGAGGGGTCTGATTTGACGTTGGACATGTGGGGCAAATTTCACATCGAGCCCCATCATAGGGGGAACAAGAATATGAGTCCTTGAAACCACAGACCACATATTTGAACTCTCTCCAGTGATGTTCGCATCCAAAATCACCCCAGAACAGAATCAATCCGGATCTCTGAAAATTGTACAAAATCCAATAGTCAACTTTCTCCCGACATGAAAATCTTTGTCAAAACCCAGGTTTGGTAGTAGATCTATTCATGCGGGGGTCCCTGTAGGATATGTTTGATCTTTGGATGGGACTAGTCATTAGTCTACTTCGAGCAGGTCACACTGATGATGTCACTCAAGACCTCTTTGTCTCTGCAATACCCGATTTTGCCGCTGGTGAGAATCAGCATCTGTTCGCATTTCCTCGGTGCTTTCCAGGGGCTGTAGGAAAATTGAAAATTCAAAGCAGTCTAGAGACAGGCCCGGCCCTTGTTATGTTCCTTGGCTTATAATCCCATCTAACTATATAATAGATTCCACCATCAGCCCTCAGTTAGCCAGGTCAAAAAGAACATGACCATCGTTTGGGAAGGGCCTTGCTGCAGACAGAGGTTTATTTCGTCAATCTGTTGTACGTGCAACTCACATTGGCCGTAGGCTTGCTATGGTCATGCACCCAAGACCAATGGCTATTCGTTTGCCCCTAAAGACAATAAACAGGATCCTGGTTTAGTATTGAATCAATTCGTGTACAGTAATTAGCAGGTCCTTTTAAAACCACTTTCACTTGATTGGTCGCAGCTACCACGAAATGATTCTTCAGTGCGCAGGTCTCCATGCCGCAGTTGCTGGCAACTTCAGATTGTGTTGAACTATAATTGTTTGCTGGTGAATGCTTTATGTTTCATGTTCCTATCTCATGTGTTGCTGCCTGAAATGCCACTTCTTGCTGGTGAATGTTCAATGTCGCCCAAAGTCGCACTGTTTCTTCCTGAACTCTCACTATTTCAGGCCTTGCAGGCGCCATTAGAAGTAAACTTATAGACCCATTTACCTACCTACATACATACGTACGTACATACATACGTATGTACATACATACATACGTACGTACGAACATACATTACATTCAATTACATTACATTACATTCCAGTACCATTGCCATTGCCATTAGCATTAGCATTTGCACTACCATTGCCATTACATTACAATACCATACATACATACACTACATCCATCCATCCATCCATCCATCCATCCATCCATGCAGGCAGAATGACAATCATACATACACGTGTAGACATACACGGAAATAGTACGCAAGAAAAACGTCTGCGAGGGTTCAAAACATCACATGAATGGTCATTAATTCATAGATATAAATATATATATATATACCCACCCCTAAGAACGGACCGGGGTCACCACTGTTGCATACTGTTGCATTGGTATTCACATATTGTGTGCAAATCAACACAGAAACAAAATAAACCAATATACATACGATACAGAACCCCATATATTATATACGAAAATATTTTAATAAACATCCTAATACACATCCATCCATAACCCACTTTCTATGGTTAAATCCATGTTTTTCATGTTTAAATATCCCCATTGGTTCGGTTCAAATCCCCATGTTCAATGATCAAACCCCCTTTGTCATGTTTAAATCCATATTGTTCATAATTGAATCACTCCTTTCATGTTTAAAACCATATCTAGCATGCTTAGATCCCAATGTTTATGGTCAGAAATCGATTGTTCATCGTTCATTAATTCACTGTTTTTTGTGGTTCTACCATGTTCTCCACAGTTAAATCCATATCTTTCGCGGTTGAATCCGTATGTTTCATCACTATTTAAAATGGTTAAATCACAATTTTGGATGGTTAAATCCTGTTTTTCATGGTGAAATCCTCCATTTTTCAAAAAAAACCCACGGACCAAGCATCCGCCCAACGCTGAACAGCATCTCATGGGCCCCGACGTTCCAATCCACAAGGCACTCGACACCTGCGGCCAGCGTCTCGACTGATGGCGCACGCCCCAGTGAATATACCGGGAATATTATTGGAGGATATGAGGGGAATATATTATAAGATATTATCAGGTGGTGCCCCATAATTACTTGGCTAAGTTGGCTTACTAAGGTTTATGGATATTCGAAGGAAGTTTAGAAGTCAAACTTCCGCCAACATGGGCAGATGGAAAAGCAGAGGCGGAAAGAGTCAGAGAAGAGAAAGGAAGAAGAAAGAAGATCAGAGAAGAGAAAGGGTCAGAAGAAAGAAGATCCAGGCGCACGAAAAGGCAGAAAAGTCGCGAAACACAGTGTTTTTCAAATGTTTTGGGGCTCCGGAAGGTCGAAAAGTAGGCTCGCTAAAGCGGCGGGCGCGGTTGCACGCCGCAGTGGTGCGAAGCAGATTGTGGCGCGAAGCAGATTGTGGCGGGAAGCACATTCGCAAGTCAAAAGTGCTAAAAACTAACGGATGTCGAAAAAGTGTACACCGTTGTGGCGCGAAGCACCTTCGCAAGTCAGTGTTAAAAAATTAGGGTCTCGGACCACTTTTGGACACTGAGATGTCGAAAAAGTGCACGCCGCTGTGGCGCCATTCGCAAGTCAAAAGTGTTAAAAACTGTCAGTCTCGGACCACTTTTGGATGTTCAGATGTCGAAAAAGTGAACATTAACACTGACACTAGCACTAACTCTACTACTGCCACTGCAAGTACAACTGCAACTGCAACAATTAGACGCAACAACAACAACAACAACAACAAGAACAACAAGAACAACAACAACAACAAGAAGAACAAGAAGAACAAGAACTAGAACTACACCACAACTACAACTACACCTACAACTGCACTACTTTACGCTACACTTGCTACACTACACTAATTACACTACACCTATTACACTACACTTATTACACTACCGTGCGCTCCAACTACAACTACACTTCACTATACACTACACTACACCTGCACTACACTACACTGCACAGCACTCCGCTGCACTACACTACACTACAACTACAACTCTAACTGCAAATACCACTACCACTACCGCTACACCTACAACTACACTACTTCTACATTACGACTACAACTCAAGCTTTGAAACACTACTTTACAGCTACAACTACAAGCACACTACAACTACACTACACTACATCTAGCAGGTGTGCATCCGATGACCACTGCAAACACTCCAAAAAGCACAACTCCAACCACCTTTCGGTCCATCAGTGGGTTCGCTCTGCCATCCATGCATGGTAACAACTCAACTTTCCTATAGGTTTCTATCTTTGAAACTTCCGCCACTGCCTTGTGCGGTACTACTGGTAAATATGGGATAGTTATGGAACAAATTATGGGAATATATATATATATGGAATATTATGGAATATTATGGAATATTATGGAATATTATGGAATATTATGGAATATTATGGAATATTATGGAATATTATGGAATATTATGGAATATTATGGAATATTATGGAATATTATGGAATATTATGGAATATTATGGAATATTATGGAATATTATGGAATATTATGGAATATTATGGAATATTATGGAATATTATGGAATATTATGGAATATTATGGAATATTGTGGAATATTGTGGAATATTGTGGAATATCATGGAATATTGTGGAATATTGTGGAATATTATGGAATATTGTGGAATATTGTGGAATATTATGGAATATTGTGGAATATTATGGAATATTATGGAATATTATGGAATATTATGGAATATTGTGGAATATTATGGAATATTATGGAATATTATGGAATATTATGGAATATTATGGAATATTATGGAATATTGTGGAATATTATGGAATATTATGGAATATTATGGAATATTATGGAATATTGTGGAATATTATGGAATATTATGGAATATTATGGAATATTATGGAATATTATGGAATATTATGGAATATTATGGAATATTGTGGAATATTGTGGAATATTATGGAATATTATGGAATATTATGGAATATTATGGAATATTATGGAATATTATGGAATATTATGGAATATTGTGGAATATTATGGAATATTATGGAATATTATGGAATATTATGGAATATTATGGAATATTATGGAATATTATGGAATATTATGGAATATTGTGGAATATTATGGAATATTGTGGAATATTATGGAATATTATGGAATATTATGGAATATTATGGAATATTATGGAATATTATGGAATATTGTGGAATATTATGGAATATTATGGAATATTATGGAATATTATGGAATATTGTGGAATATTATGGAATATTATGGAATATTATGGAATATTATGGAATATTATGGAATATTATGGAATATTATGGAATATTATGGAATATTATGGAATATTATGGAATATTATGGAATATTATGGAATATTATGGAATATTGTGGAATATTGTGGAATATTATGGAATATTATGGAATATTATGGAATATTATGGAATATTATGGAATATTATGGAATATTATGGAATATTATGGAATATTATGGAATATTATGGAATATTATGGAATATTATGGAATATGGAATATGGAATATTGTGGAATATTATGGAATATTATGGAATATTATGGAATATTATGGAATATTATGGAATATTATGGAATATTGTGGAATATTGTGGAATATTGTGGAATATTATGGAATATTATGGAATATTATGGAATATTATGGAATATTATGGAATATTATGGAATATTATGGAATATTATGGAATATTATGGAATATTATGGAATATTATGGAATATTATGGAATATTATGGAATATTATGGAATATTATGGAATATTATGGAATATTATGGAATATTATGGAATATTATGGAATATTATGGAATATTATGGAATATTATGGAATATTATGGAATATTATGGAATATTATGGAATATTATGGAATATTATGGAATATTATGGAATATTATGGAATATTATGGAATATTATGGAATATTGTGGAATATTATGGAATATTATGGAATATTATGGAATATTATGGAATATTATGGAATATTATGGAAATATATGGAGAACCTACACTACATGGAATTGTATGATTCTTTGAGGATGATCTCACCTAAGTGGTTTATCCCATCAAGAAATGAGGTTTTTTACTATGGTTATGAACCACTTCTTAAGTGGGGTGATCCTCCAAGTGAGAATATTATGGTAATATTATGGTAATATTATGGAATAGAACATTGGAATATACTGAATATACTGATATTATGGAGTATTTCAACTGAATGTTCAACCATAATGTAGTATATCCAACTGGTACTATTGAATATAATACATTGAATAAGTTGAATATACTGAATGGTAACTAATAGTAAGACAAAAACGAATGCCAAGGTGAGGGAATATTTTAGGAAACAAATTTGGGAACTATGTTATGGAGGATTTCAACTTTCTGCTTGCGTTTTTGTATTTGTATAGATATAGATATAGATATAGATATAGATATAGATATATATAATGGGGAGATAACGGGGGGATATGTGTATATTATATATATATAGATAGTAATGGATATACCAGCAGTGGGTGATTTAGATTCAACGGGTGACTTGCGGAGCTAGTTTTAGCCATGGGGCCATGCTGTGTCCCGGAGACAGGGGATCCCGGGGATACCGTTCATTGGGAGCAGCTTATCAAAGGAAGTTGGGAAGCAATCTTCCGAGTTACGGATGACTTTTATTCCAGTGACTGCACATCACATAACAAGACATCACGAAGGGTGGTGTGAGACTTTACATCACACAACAATACATCACATGAAAGAGGGGATCGAAGGGTGGTGTGAGACTTTACTTTGCGTAACAGTACATCACATAACTCAGGGAAGTGAGGAGGAAGGGTGATGACGAAGGGTGACGACGAAGGGTGGTGACGAAGGATGGTGACTGAGGGAAGTGGTGACTAAGGGAAGTGGTGACTAAGGGAAGCGGTGACTATTATAAGGGAAGTGGTGGCTAAGGGAAATGGTGGCCAAGGGAAGTGGTGACAAAGGGAAGTGGCTGACTTACAGAAAGCGGTGACTAAAGGAAGTGGTGACCAAGGGAAGTAGTGACTTGGGGAAGTGGTGGCTAAGGGAAGTGGTGACTTACAGAAGTGGTGACGAAGGGAAGTGGTGACTAGATACATTATGTAGAAACGAACAAGGTGAAGCAGTTGTGGTATGGGTTGTGGCAGCGCGGCCCAATTCTCATGCGCCATGGCTAAAGCGTTACAATGAAAAGACATGAAGTGAGATGAGAAGAGCTCAGATGAGATGAGTTGAGATGAAGTGCGGAGTGTGAAGTGCAAGTGTGAAGTCTGGAGTGCAGGGTGTGAAGAGCGCAGTGCGAAGTGTGAAGAAAGTGTTTGCGTGGCGTTGCATTGCACCGGGGTCGCGCACAGGTCATGTTCTTGGGCAACAACCGTGCAACAGATTCGCACAAAGCACGCACGGGCCTGGCTGGCGCACGGCGCATGCAAGTTCTATAGATGAAAAAGGTCTTTTAGTACAACCCTAAGGCAACTTTCGCCCCGCCTCGTGCGGGTACTACTGGTAAATTTTATCACTTATACAATCATATAACTTATATGCATATTTTGTTTAAGGTGTAAACAACATTTGGCTATTAGATCCAGGTCTTCGTTGACTTAAATAGTCATGTTTGTTAGTTCAACCATGTTCAATCCTTGTAACAAACCAACAGTTGAGCCATGAAAAATACCCCTATCCCATCCCATGATATTCATTGGTCAACGGGTCCCTATTTTGGGCTATCTTTATCCCCAGTAAACTAAGTAGTACAACCCCCCCATTTCATAACTAATCAACAATAAGTTATCAATGACATCCCTATGTCTTCCTATGAAATCCATGTTTTGCTGGTTAAATCCCGATTTCATAACCAATCAACAATGGCATGGTTAACGGCTCGGTCAATGTCAAGGAGCACAGGTCATACTGGAAGCCCAAGTGGTGGCCTTACGAGAGCAAAAGCGAGCAGACAGCTGAGAGATATAGGCCCCATTTCTATCCATTTATGAGTATAGAACTCTACAAAGTAGGCTAAATTACATTGGAAAATGGTGCCTACATGGGCCTACATGGGCCTACATGTTTCACCGCTCTCAAAACATGACCAAACACTTCGCACCAAAACTGCGATGTTTTGTAGAAATGGTGGAGAAATCAGCTATATTTTCTTGGGGGGAACAATGTGGAGGAATCAGCTGCAAACGGGGAACACGTAAGTTTTCCATTGGGTTTTCCATTCGATGTTCAAATGAGTCAATATCATGTGTTCATCGGAAGGACTTATTGTTGAATCATTTAGGAGAGTCAATATGTTGACCCATTTTCTTGTCTTTCTCAAGAAAACTAATTATATGTGTGGGTGAAAATGTAAGGAAAACATCTATGAATGGGGAACGTGTCCATTTGATATGATAATACATGGTTAAGGTCAAAAAATGGACGACTCGGAAATGATTCCCAATTGGTTTAATTATTGGCGATGGTATGATTGAAAAAATGTTTGATTTTGGACATGGTCATTCTACCATTATTGGGAATCCTAACATTGGCCATTACCACAAGTCCCTATCTGAGGTCGGACCGCCATACATGGGTAGTCATGGGTATATAATCGAAGTTGGGTATATAGCCTAGTTGTTGTTCATGGCAAATATCGATTTCTTTCAAAATACCCCGGAATGGCACTTCATGGCTTGGACAATGACAATAAACAAGTCGGCTTTGGGTTAACAACAATGTGAGACAAGCCCACGTGGCGAAACTGAGATCCCCTCCAGATGTGTCACCATTTATAGTCAAGGATGAAGTATAGTGATAAAGTACGACTTTAAAGTTGGTCCTTCTCAATAGATAAACTGGGAGTGAACACTCTCCTCCTGGGCAAAGTGATCACAATTTTCATGCGGGCATTGCCAGTCGACTTTTCTATATGGGTGCATCTGAACAATGGGGCATACTCACGGCATGCCCAAAATGGCTCTCCTTTAATAGGGATTATGATTAAATGATAATTATCTCCCGGTAATCACACTTGGTAGCCTTGGCAATGGAAAATGCCCCATGTATAGATGATTTTCCCAGCTATAAATAAACCTCCATTTAGTTCGGGGATTTCAATTGCCATGTTTGATTCCCAGAGGGCCAGAGGGTAACCATTGGAGTTCGGTGTCCGACAAATGTTCAGACAAACCCAGGGACTCATCACTAAAAATCCCAGTGGCTTGTAATGTCATAGAGCACGCTATGCTTTTGCAACAAGGGAGTCAACGCCTCTGGCAAAACGCTGAAAAATGGGTGTTGCAGATAGAAGAAAAAGGTTTAACAACGACGATGATCTTTGATTCTGGATAACTACAACATCGGAAAAATATGTATTCACCAACAAGAACCGTATATTTATTGAGTAGATCAACTATAATGAATGATTTGAACGAAAAACATGAAAAAAAATGGACTAAGGGGATAAACCCCGAGAATTGGATATGTTGTGTGAAAACACTGACCATATCAAAAATGCTCAAGGGATATCCTCTGGTTTCATCAAAGCCGACTGTCTGGAAAGTCACAGATTCAAGATGCAAATCATCATCACTGTTATTTTTCGTTGCCATGTTTCATTACCAAATGGCGGTCGATCAGAAAGTCCAAACCGCCCAAAACATCCCCAAACCTTACATTAAGCGATCAGGTTTCACGGCCGGCTTTGGTGGCATCTCAATACTAAGCATCATTTCTATCTAGTGAGAAAAACCATCCAGCGCAACTTTTGTTTCTTGTCTTGTGCAATTGGTGACAGTTCCTTTCCCCTCCAGTAACCCAGCAAACTAACCTAATCTAACTATGGAAGCCATGGCCATGGCCAACTTAGTTCGATAACCTTCCTATCAAAATGCTGATTTTTCAGTTCGCTATGTCTGGCACTTCAATGACTAGGTGGGGCACCCCGTTTTTGGGGCCGCGGGGGATGGCTTGAAACTGCCGACGTATTCACATCTTTTGTTGGCTCTGTATGAATGCCGGTTTTTGTAGCCTGTAAGTATTCACATGTATGTGTGTAAATGGATAATACATTGGTATAGTCCATTCAAGAGTTCCAACCCATATGCTGACATACACACAACCCTAACCCCCCCCACACCCCCACACCTAACCCTAATCCCCCCCCCCCCCACACCCAACCCGAATCCCCTCAACCCTCCACCCCACCCAAACCTAAAGGTCTGAACTTCCTTATGTGGTATGAAACACTTGAAACACTGTAAAGAACTCTTGAATGGACTATACCCATATGTGTATATATATATACACACACAATGTGTATTACCCAACCTTTTTCATGAACCAAATTGGAGACATTGCTTCATCTGGACAAATTACTATTCCCAAATCTGGAACAAGCTCATTTTAGGATATTCCCCACAATCCTACCCAATCTTTCGCGAGGTCTTTGTGAGGTAGTTGTAATTTATCCCAACTTTTTCAGGTTTAATCCCGTACTTCCCGCGCGAATACCTTCAAATCCTTCAGAAAAGCGCACATTTTCTAGTGAGCCATTTCAAATACCCCTATCAAATCTCATTAATGCTGGCTTCATCTCCAATAAGCCAGGTATAGGTAGTGCAGGAAGAGGGCCCCAATTCGAAGTTTATCCTAAGCCCAACTATATCTCCACCATAAATCCCAGTGCAGCAAAAAAAACAGCCGGAAAAATCAACCGGTGACCTTCGTGAAGATGAAAATCATCGACCAATCCCCCTTGTCGGGTCCCCAGTGAATCCTAGAGATCCCATAGCACCTCCCGGCACAGCTCACGATACAGAAAGTCTGGAAGCATCGCGTACATCTCCTCGCTTTCAAGCGGTTCACGAGGGGAGATGGATGTCAGATCTCCAAACAATTGCAATTAGGATATCTTTCAATACATATATATATATATATATCAACCACGAAAGAAGAGAGAGGAAGTGAAATCTGATTTGAACCTAGTGACAAATTGCTTTTCCATCGTTTTGAGGGGTACTATGCATAGAGATATATCGTTGGGCCATGGGTATGGTGTTTTCCGTAACTTGCAACAATCTAAGATAGTAATGTCAATAGTCATGATAGCAGTACAGTCTTTAAAAAAAAAAACATGATTCATGATGGCATATGATAGCAGTACAGTGGAGTAATATATATATACATACATAGATTGCTATAGATATGATAAAATCATAATCAGAAATCATATATTGTATTATTTTAGATTGATAAATATATATATATTATAAACTCATTATAGTCATGAATTCACTTTGATGAAACCACCATAAACCACCTATATCGCCATCTCACGTCGTGGCCTGATCTCCAAATCTCCAAGCGTTCTTTTGGGGCTGCAGAAATATATCGCCATCATTGGAACTCCTGTCTCTAAATATGCGGCTAGTCGTTTAATTGTTTTTTTTGCTAAAAAAAACTGATATCAGGGTCAATCTTTGATGCACAATAAAAAGTGATCTTCTGGCTGACTAGTCCGTGTTCCAGCAAAGATTGAAACGGATTGAGCCATTAAGACATCATTAAGTTGCTAGGCAGCCCAGACATGCCCATTCAACTTACCCTTTGACGCTCCATCATTTACCATAAACATCCAGAGAAAAAAACCACGCATCGGCCTTTCACATGGCCAATCTTAGATACCCTGCAAGATAAAAAGTGGTTGGGATCCGTCCAATCTTTTTAAACACCTTCTGGATTGATGTACTAAACATGTGCATCATGATATGGAAACCAATCGTAACATATTTCCATCTGTAAATTGGTTCTGTAAATTGGTTCTTTAAAGTGGTATCTTTACCATTTCCATCTGCTTTAATTATATTACCCATATAGTAACTGGTAGCAATCCCTTTCCCCGTTATTAAACAGCCACCAGAAACTATGGTGGATGTGATTTCCGCCTGCTTGCAAGGTGGAGCCACCCTCGACATGTTGTTCTGCAGATGGTCCTGCTTGTAGCAAAAAAAAACATGGCTGATTCCTGGGATTGAGAAGTTATTACCCTCCGGTAAACTAACATAACTATGGAGACTCACCATTTTTAATGGGAAAACTCAATATAAATGGCCATTTTCAATAGCTATGTTAAATTACCAGAGGGTACATGTTATTACTATCAATATGATTGTCATGTTATCATGATTGTGGGATTTACAATCATCATGTCTTAAGTCTCTGAAGATAATGGAAGAATGGTTGTTTTTTTGGGATTTGATGGGATAATATCAACATGATGGGACATAATAGCGGTGATTATGAATTTACATATGATTATTATCTAAGGTGTCTGAAAATGGCTGATTTACTGGATTTTTTCTGATGTATCAACCATGAATGGGGAAGTAAGCCGCACAATTGGGGGACGGAAAGATGGAAACCATCTCCTTCCTATGTTTGATACAAAGGCTTTTGTAACAGGGATACAATGGGGATATACTGGGATATCGACAAGCAACAACATGGGTTGAAAATGGGTGTGCCCCTTTGTGGTCGTTGCAATAGGATGATGATCAACAGATTTAGGGCCTTTAGGGGTCCCGAAAATGCTTGTTTTCAGTGAGGTATCTTCAAAAACATATTTATACGAATACAAACTCAAACAAACCCATCATTTCTGACCCATGTTTTTTACCAAGGTTTACTCAGAAAATAGGTAAAACCATGGCATCTTAGTATCCAATGGCCTGGTCAACCTACCAAAATGGAGACTGGGAATGTCACATGGATCAACACAGCATGTATCCTGCGGATGTTTCTCAAAACAGGTGAACCACAAAAATGCAAGGCATTCTCAAACGGCTTCCATCAGATTGATTCAAATTGCAAAAACTCATATCGTTCCTGTCATTGCAGAAATTTTGGCGATACTGCTTCCATTCACTACCCAGGCGGCACCTTCACCTGCAACTCCAAAGCCCAGGAGACCTGAGAAGTGCTTAAGATCAGCTTAGCAGCTTAACGGCAGCTTACCATTGTGGTTATCTTAGGTGTGTCTGAAAGTGGTGAATTTACTGAGATCTATATCATGGTGTGTATATATATATAGATAGATAGAGAGAGAGAGATATATATATATATCTAACCAACACTATACTATGTGGAACTTAGGTGTGTTTACAACCAAACATCCGGGTTTGAAGCAACCATAACCCGCACTGGGGATGGAAACAACTTCCTTCCTATTTTGATACGTGTATGCGGCAGGGATATAATTGGATATATACAACCAACAATATGAGATGTGGGTCTGTCTGAAAACAGTACCCCCAGTCTATGGCCATTGTAAGAGGAAAAATATGGCCCTTTTTTTCAGACAAACCCAGTTGTCTATGTTCATTGTCATTGGTGCCTTATCATCTGTCATTGCTGTCAACTTATTATTGTTATCATAATTATATCTATAACATTCAAATTGGCAGCTACTGTTTTCATTTTTACGAATATTGCTTAATATTGCCATCAAAAAGTTGACATTCACCATGAAATCTTGGATATTAAGTGGAGATATAACAACAAGTGCAAATGTTTGGGATGGGATGAAACAATATTGAGAACTATCAAAAATGTGGAATTCATCAGAGCCATGAATATGGCAGAACGCATTCCACTCATCCCGGTGCGGGATTGTCGTGGTGTCAGAATCACGGGTGCACCTCTAATGAACGGTGTCGAGGTGTCGTAAGGACATGACATGGATGTGAATAGGAAGCAATTCATACGCAGAAATGATGGGTCTTGATTTAACCAGCAACAATGAGGACATGGCCAACAGGACATAGATTGGGTAGCCAATAATTCGTAAGAATCAAGAGGTAGCCAATAAGAATCACACCAAAGCACCGTCTGAATTGGGTAGAAGCTTAGCAAAGATGTCGCACATATGAAGGGATGAACAACCAAACTGGGGATTCCCACTACTAAAAACCTTCCCAGAGCCTTGATTTCTTAGGTCCGAAGATTGAGGTTGACGACACTAATATACTTTGACCCATGTTACTCTTGGTTAAACTTGAAAAATACTGGATTTATCATTGCCGATCTTTGGATCTGAAGATCCCAGTGTTTTCCTGCAAGCATCCTCAAAGCCGATCAGATCTGGGCTCCCTCACTGGATAAATCATGAAGAAATCAGAGACCTGGAGAAGGAGATATGGATATCCTCTTGGCCTTTTTTCTCATCTGGAAGTGAAAAGGTTTACCCCTTTTTTCCATATCTTTCATGAGGTTTTTTCGCCACTTCTTTTCCATTGCTTCCTGGAGCTTCCTGGTCGATTTTCCATGTGAAAGTGGATCTGATTCCCATCCGTGGAATCATCCCAGGTACAGGTAGGATGGTGCTTGTCGCAGTCAGATGGTGCCCCTATATTTGTCGTGACGACTACTGTGGCCGAGGCTTAGGATGCGAAAATATATATGTTGGGACTTGAGTTCAAAATGTTTCTTAACTAGGATCCATTGGCTAAGAAATGTGGCTGGCAAATAGACTCTAAACTAGGTGACTAGGTTTCTTAACCCATTCCATTAACCCCTTGCGAGCTCCAGCAGCAGCAGCAGCAGCAGCAGCCGCAGCAGCAGCAGCAGCAGCAGCAAAGTAATACGGGAATACACAAAGGGTGTAGTGAGATATATATATATTATATACATGCGCATGTATTTTGAGGAAAATATGTTTCTCACAAAATAGATTCCAAATAATTTATTTCCCTGGGAAGTAGAGTCTACTTTCTTGCTTCATAAAATTCATCAACACAGTCCAAACTGTTGGTTCCTCCTGGGCCATTTATATCGCAAGCTGTGTGGCTGAAGTCGCCAGTCGCTTGGTTAAACGCGGTTTGTTGCTGTTTGCGGACCAACGAATGTCCAGCCAGTCTAGATGAATCGTCCGTACTATCTCATTGTTTCCGCAGGCTTGCTGGTTTGAAAGTATCCTCATGTGCTTGGTTGTCCCTTTCTTTGGTGATGAGAAAATCCGCAAATGTATGGGTTTCATCAATGTTGACGTCAGCTGCTAAAAGCCAACCCTCTAAAAGGTGGAGCACATACATGAAACAAACCATTGTTCAATGCATCGGGTGTCCAGACACACACAAAAAAAAAATGTACAGGTTCTTTTTTCGGGTTTTAATATTCTATTCGATGATGGAATCTTCTTTTTGAGGCCGAAATTATCGATTCCGTGTTCTACCACCTTGGAAATAAATAAATAAATACATACATACATACATATACATATACATATATATATACTCCCTAGCCTATAAGCAATCATTTGTGGCTGACATCCTATTACTGTTGATAGTTAAATCCCTGGTCTTTGTGGTTTGAAATTTCAGGGCCAATTTCTTGTGTGTGTGTGTCTTCTAAATTCCAATTTGTATGACTGGTTGGTGGTTTTAACCATCTTAAAAAAGATTAGTCAATGGGAAGGATTATCTCATATATTATGGAAAATAAAAAATGTTGGAAACCACCAACCAGATGAGTTCGGTACCAACTTTCTTTGGTTGAATGCTCAAGCTGGGTCCATATTCAACCACAAATCTCGGATCCAAATCTCTACTTTCCATTCATTCTAGATATCCATTGAAAAATTTAAGATTTCCCAGCTATCTTAGTAATATTCATTGATGGATACTGCAATTTATCATCCAAAAAATTTCAATCCAGCAATACTTTGATGAGTTGCCCACGCCCACCTGATACTCTGCCTCCTTTTGCATCCGCCGTACACGACAAATATCCTGGGGCTTTTTTGGCCAGTGCCACCAGTGGGCACGGCACCACGGCGAAGAAATCGAAAGTTCTCACAAGATTGACCTGTCTCAACTGTTTCAGATGTTTCAAATGTTTGAAAATGTTTGAACCTTTGTCTTCTGGAATTTCGGAATTCAAACTTTGGTCTTTATTGAAAGATTCGGGAAGTGAAATTGTCAAAGGTTCAGGGGTATTCTCTTCAGGCCTCCGAACTGATGGCCATAGTCATCGCCCGAGTGAGTCAACCAATGGTTGGATGCCTGGTGGGAACTTCCGAAGTTGGATTCTGAATACCAAATGCCCCAAGGATCGGAGATGTCGTTGGTGACGATAGAGGTGAAGATGGACCCTCCCAACCTTGGCTGGGCAACCTATGGGACAAAATCCAAAATGGCTGGTGCCCCAAAATGACTGGGACCAAGAATGTTGATAATATGTGGTAATATGTGATAATAGTGATTATCCATAATATCCATAATATTTATAATACCCTCTGGTAAACAAACATAGCTATTGAAAATGGTCCATTTATAGTGGATTTACCCATGAAAAATGGTGGATCTTTCCATAGTTTTTTGTATGTTTACCAGAGGGTATCTATAATGATCAATAACGGACAAAACCTGTAGTTCCCTGCGCCCTCAAGTTCCAAATGTGATTTAGCTGGGCACCTGGAAATTGGGAACATGGCTAACATGGCCAACGGGCCAACAAGTTTGGTTTTCTAATTACCCTCTGGTAATTTGTTACATAGCTAATATGCATTTAAAATTTAGTTCGTTAATTTACCCATTCAAAATGGTGATTTTCCACAGTTTTTTTGTATGTTTACCAGAGGGTATTCCATTGCTTCCCGGCTGGTTTGATCCCCAGCGACAGAGCCAGCCCCGTTGCCATGACTGCTAGGAGTCGCTCCTCAGCTGAGCAGAAAGCTGAACGTCCAATGCCATTCTTTATGGCTTGAACAGATTCAACTTATGCTTGCATGGTGGTTTGGGTTGGTGGTTTGAAAGTCTGGGAATTCATGATTTTTTGAACCTAGAACCAATACCATCTAAGATGGTAACCATTAAAAAATGGAGGTTTCCTGAAATGGGGGTACCCCAAAATCATCCATTTGATTTTCGGATTTTCCGTTATAAACCAACCAGCTATTGGGATCCCCCATTTATGGAAACCCCCAAACAATGGTTGATCGTTGGTCGATGATCCAGTATAAATTTGCTGAATACCCTCTGGTAAACTAACATAACTATGGAAAATCGCCATGTTTAATGGGAAAATCCACTATAAATGGCCATTTTCAATAGCTATGTTGACATAACCAGAGGGTAGGTCTGTCCATTTTGGGGTTAGTTCACTCTCTGTATAGATCAAATCTGGCACCAACACGTCTAGCTTTAATGTGTTTTAATATGGCTCAACTGGGAGAACTAACCGTTAAGTGACTCTAAGTAGTTGTACGTGGATCTTTCCATAGTTATGTTAGTTTACCAGAGGGAATTTTGGAATCTTTTAATGGGTGTAGCTGGCATAGGCCCGTCATTGTATGATACAGTGCCTTTTCTCCCAGAAATGGAGGATGGCCCCAATTTGCGGGCAGGAAATCAGATGGTTTCACTGTTTCAATCAGCTATGCTTCCAAGTCATTGCCCAGACTGGACAGCGTAAGCCAGCGAGGTTTGATACGATGGTGATATTCGGTGAATCGGTTACATAATACCTTCCAGGTAATCAAACATGGTTTGCTGGAAAATCCCCCATTTAGTTCGATTTTTTCCAGCTATGAAGTTCCGATGAAAGCTCCGCGATCTTCCATTGCCGTGTTTGATGAACAGAGTGTACATAATAAGAGACAAAAAAATGTCATCCAGAATCTAAACACAATTTTCACACATGTTGAAAATTGCTTTGGTGACAAAATCACTGGTTTTTCGCGTTGTAGCCACAGGGCGTTGCTGACCAACTAACTAGCCAGGACATCCCAGGACATCCAAGATCATGTGGGTATGCTGATAAAACGTTTATCCGGAAGCCATCGGTGATCCTACGAGTTCACATCAATGTTCATCGCCAAGCAGCCATTTGAGTCTCAAGCTGCATGTTCCTGAGCTGAAAACTTGGAGCAATGCGAAGCAAAAAAAACAAGACGTGTGGACAACTGTAAAGTCCGCAGTTGTTCGGGTCAAAAGTTGTCACACCCCCAGTTCTCATCCAAAAGTCATGTGGATGATCCTTCAACCAAACGTAAACGTTTAGGAACGGCGTTTCTAATTATTTCCCTTGCATAGCAGCTGTTTCAGAGATCATGCTGGGGGGATTGCTTTCAGTCTGAAGCCGCTCTGACCCTGGCACATTTATACATACATACATACATAACATTACATTACATTACATTACATTACATTACATTACATTACATTACATTACATACATACATACATAAATACATACATACATACATACATATATATATATACATATATCATATATCTACATATATATATATATATGTACACACATGTTGTATACATATATACATATATATATATAATTATATATATAATTATATATATATATGTGTGTGTATATAGTCGTCCTGGAGTAGATAGAATGTGAACAATTCAAGAAAGCCTCACTAAAATGGGAATATATAGTTTAAACAGTTAATAGTCATTTATTTTTGCTATCTACTTCAGGATTATTATACATTCATAAGCCCCAAATGACAAGCATCATTTATGATTGTTTGTAATTACCACATGAACCCTCCTGGGCCCAAACACTGCCAGCCAAGCTTCTCGAAGGTTCGGGAGGGATGCAATCGGCTCAGGGTCAATTCCGCACTCTTGCGATATTGATCCTGCATGTGTTTTGTCTCGAAATGGGATCAATCAACAAACATGAAAATTTGACGTGTTTAACTAGTGTTTAACGTGTTTAACCAATAAACATTGGTATCTAATTGTAGATGGGTGTGTCTCAAACATGATTCAATGTTTGTCATTCCATGATATTTTATGGCCATGAAACGAAAGGGAAAATGACGTTCGAAGCATGGAATGGGATGGATCAAAAGATCAATTTAAACGGCAGAACATGCTTTTGTAAAGCTGGATATGGACCCCAACTTCCATTGCCGAAGTCATTGTTCTACCTAGTACACTGTAGCCTGTTTTCACTGCTCGGTTCCACTCGGGTCTTACACAGACTCGCTAAACAAACAAGTGTCAAGTCAAGTCTTTGCAGTCAATGAAACCTTGCAGGAGCCACAGGAAAACTCCATGACAAATGTAGCCATGAGATATTAGGAGAGGACCATGATCCATGGCGCAGACAAAATGGCACCGTGTTTTCCACAACATCCAGCCCCTTTTCAGTGCGTACAACCCCAAAGATGCTAATCACCAGAATGAGGAAAAAGTTACGACATCCTGAAACCATTTTGCGCAAAAAAAACGTGTACAAAAATCAAGAAAAAAAACAACGATTCCAGTTTTTCCCTGTAATCTGCAGTACATTGCAGTACACTGTATCAACATTGCCTTTTCAGTTCCCTTCTAGATCACGATGGAGAGCTAGAGAACCATGCTTGCGATCTCGCCTACGGGATTCAATTGTTGAACTATGATCCTGCCATGGGATGGCAATGAAAATAGAATAACTTACTAAAAATCAGCTCAAGACTTCAGCACCTGGAAATTGACTCCGCTTCCAAGTCAAGCTAAACGTGTATATATATATAATACACATATAGTTTTGTTCGTTGGACATTCCCAATTCCGTCCACAAAGCAATATCTAAGAAATCTGCCAATTTTAAAATCTGCCGGTTTTTGATTTTATATATAATTATTATATATATATTGTTTTATATATATATATTATTATTATTATGTATATATATATTATATATATATATTATATATATATTATATAATATATATATACTATTAAATATATTATTATATTTATAACTATAAATATATACATTATTATTATCATCATTATCATTATCATTATTAATATATATATATTATTTTATATATATATATTATATATATGATTATTAAATATATATAATTAAATATATAATTATTATAGTTATATATTATCATATATATATATACTATTTTGTATGTATATAAATAAATTAGTAGTTTATATATTATTATATATATTCTTATTTTATATACTATTATATATATATATTATTGTATGTATTATGATTATATATAGTATTATATATGTATATTATTGTATATATTATTATATATAAATTATGACACATATATATATATTATTATATTTATATATCATTATATATATTATATATATTTATTATTATATTTATATATTATTATATATATGTATTATTGTATATATTATTATATATTATTATTATTGCTATTATTTTTACAGCCAGGCGCTGTGTGTTGCCCAGAAGGTTCAAACGGCGTTTAAACATGTTTAACATTATCCTTCAACATGCTAAAACACCTGCGCAGGGCCAGTGTTTTGAGATTTCCCAGACGACGAACCATAACCCTAAGACCCTAAATTTTAGGAGCCTTGCGGCACTTGGGCGCCAACACAGGTTGCTGTTTAAGTTCTATGTCTGTGTTACGCTTAAGTTGTACTGTGCTTAAATTCGGCCGTAGTTAAGGCAGTTTGTATCTAAGTTTGGGTTGTTCAAAAGTTAGGTTTTAGTTCAGCTGGGTTGTGCTTATGTTGGGCTGTACTTAAGGCGGGCTGCGCTTAAGCCAGTAACTTGCGCTTGTGCTCATGTGGGCTCAAGCCCGATTGAAATTACATGAGGCAGCGTTTAAATCTAACAACCTTTAACCCCAACATCCTTCAACCCGAAAAAATCCTTTAACGCTAAAACCCTTAAACTTATATCTCTTATGACCCAAAAATATTCCAGAGACTTTAAAATCCCGCAGCCCTGACTCACATCAGCTAACCCGAAAATACTTTAACCATACAACTTTGAACCCTTACATCTCTCAAACCTAAAATCCCTTAACCCCGACAACTTCTAACCCCAAAATGCTTTAACTCTAAAATCTTTAAATTTCAGTATCTACAAACCCTAAAATCATTTAATCCTCGCTCCTTCAACCCTAATAACTTTCAACCCTTACATCCATCAACCCTATAAAATCCCTCAACCCAATCATTTATCCGTCCACCATAAAATCTTTAACCGTCGTTAACCCCAGAATCTTTATAACCCCGAGTCCCTGCCACCCTAGAGCCCGGGGTGCATGGCCCGGCTTAATGAGGAACAAGCGGCCGCCTCCGTGGCGCATTGTCTGATAGCGAAGTGAAGAGGGCCCATATAAAGTCAATATGTAGTAGCTGTCTTTTCTTTTGGCGCGCAAAAAAAAGGCATATGGCTGGTGGAACAAGTGCTGGCTTGACCTGATCTTAGAGATCCCTGCAACCGATTTTTCTCCAAAAAAAGCTGTTGTCACCCCTGGCTTTTACATCATCTATTCTTACGTCTTCTCAATATCCTTGCCTAGGTGTTCGTCATCATCGCTATCTGCAGCCCTCATCTACATCAAGCGTCATTCGTTACAATCTTTATCGTCATGCATCATCATCCCTTCTTTTGTATTATATTCTTGCTTCTGCCGCCTGCTTTCTCTGGGTGCCATATTGTTGTCAATTTCCTGTTTTGTAGGAAAGGGTCGGGGCCCAGAGCGTGCGCAAATTGCCGACCGCGAAGGGGCTAAACTATCCTGTGGTCATCACGGGTCATACAGTCATACATAACTGGCCCTACCGACTGCGGCCAAGTACAACTGGCCTTGCAATTACACAGTTCCACGGGTAATCATCTGCAGCACCGCGTATCCGCAGATACCCGCCGCACACGGAAAATTTGATCAGCATACCAGTAGTACCGCACAAGGCGGTGGCGGAAGTTCCAAAAATAGGAAACCTATAGGCTATAGGAAGGGTTGGGTGTTGCGACTCACGGAGGCCAGAGCGCAGCCACTGATGGACCGAAAGGTGCTTGAGGTCTCCTCTCGTTCTCTCTCTTTCTCTCTCTCTTTCTCTGACTATCTACCTACCTACCTATCTATGTATCTAATCTACCTATCTCTCTCTCCCATCTAATCACCTATCTCTCTCCCTCTCTCATCTAATCACCCATCTGCCTATCTATCTATCTATCTATCTGTCTGTCTGTCTGTCTGTCTGTCTGTCTGTCTGTCTGTCTGTCTGTCTGTCTGTCTGTCTGTCTGTCTGTCTGTCTGTCTGTCTCTCTCTCTCTCTCTATCTATCTATCTATCTATCTGTCTGTCCATCTATCTATCCATCAGTCTACCTATCTATCTATCTATCTAATTATTTATCTATTTGTCCATCTATCTGATCTTTCTATCTATCTATCTATCTATCTATCTGCAAGCTTGAAACGAAGCTATTCTGCGAGACTTCCTCAATTTGACAACGTCAAAAACGAAGCAGTTCTGCGAGAGGTCCGCATTTCTCGAAGTTGACAACATCAAAAACGAAAGAATTCTGCGAGACTTCCTTCAAAAATGGAAAGTTGAGTGCAGAGCTGACGGCCTCGTGCCAATGCGTTTTGCGATTTTTCCAGTCCCCCTGTCCAAAGTAGTGCGCCTGCCACGAAAAAGTGCTGCCAGGTCATACGAAGTGCTGCACCTGTCACGCAAAATCATCGCAGCAAACCTGAAGATTTGATGTTCCAAGATGCAACCCCTCTCAGGAAATCAGCGCCCTGACCTCCTAACATCTCTGATGAACATGTCTCTTGTATTGGGCCTGCCGCGGAAAATGCATCTTCGCAGATCCAAATGCCACACGCCTGCCGTCGTTTATTTTCGGAAATGCAACAAAACCTTCACGTTTTTTCCTCACTTTTGACACGGTGCACAATCCCGCGCGCCTGCCACGCGAAACGGCATCTGAACGTCCAGAAGATGTCCGAGCATGTGTTTTTCGCATTTTGACTTCGAAACGTGCTTTGCGCCACAGAGGCGCGCGCTTTTTCGACGTCTCAACTTGCAAAAGTGCTCCGGGCCCGTCCATTTTTTTACGCTTTTGACTTCGAAATGATATGCTTCGCGCCGCAACGGTGTGCAATTCTTCATCTCTCATCTGGCCAGCTGGCTCCGCACCCGCCGCTTTAGCGGGCCTACTTTTGGACCCTCCGGAGCCACAAATCATTGGAAAACTACTGCGTTTCGCGACTTTCCGACCTTTTCGCGCACCTGGATCTTCTTTCTTCTGACTCTTTCTGACTCTTTCTCTTTTTTGATCTTCTTTCTTCTTCTCTTCTCTTCTCTCCTGATTCTTCCCATCTATTCTGTTCATCTGTCCATATTCTCAGAAGTTTGACCTCTAAACTTCCTTCAATCATCAGCCGATACCATGTCTTTCTGGTGTGCATGCATGAGACCCCCTGCCTTAGTTGTTCACGTATACCATACCAAGCAATATGCGCAATGACATCATATTGAGCCTGATCATGCTTTTTTGTATGCTACAATGCTACAGCTCAAGGCGAAATCAATACACATCAACTTGTATACAAATGCAACTACATACAACAACATGATTCTATAGATAATATATGCGTCCGCAAAAATGTTCAAACTTTTAAGTGTTCCTCAGGCGTGTTATTTTTTCAATTAAGCAAGACAAATGAGCCGCGATACAATAAGACCACATCAATATAGTGTGACAGCGGTGGAAACATGCCACACGACGGACGCATGATTACTACAAATTAATCATGACGTATTACATACTTTGATAGACATTGATATATTCCGATTTCTTGTGATATCATTGGAAAGTGATGCATCTACGAGGACGCGTG